GATGGGTGGAAGTGAAGAACTTAAAATAATAATAATAAATAAATAATAAATTATAGCGCAAAGCAACAACCATTGTAGATTATCTCTAGACTTGTCTTTTATAATTACCAAATCCAGTTTCAGCTAACAAGAAAATCTTTCTTCACTAAATAGGATGACGTCAACCAGAATCAGTGAACGTGTTCACAGCTTATTTGCTACAGGAAATCAATGGCAGCGTGATGCTTGCTTCCACTCCAAGACTCTGCCCACCTACCATTTACTTTATCATTAAATGTAGATTAGCATTCAGGATTTTGTCACTATTTAAATGCTAATTATGGTCTGAAAAAACAATATGTAAATTAAATATTTTGCTATGTAATTGTAGACTTATGATGGAGATTCAAAATATATTTAGATATATGATATTGGTAGTATTATTTGACATATATATTATTATCTAAATAAAACATATATTTGATAGGGGGGAATCTCATGATGTGGCCATGTCAAAATAATTGCACTATGTAGGCTAAAAGTCACAATGATGTCATTTAAAGAAAAATAGGGATTACAAGGAAAAAGAAAAAGTGTTAAAACCTATTAGCGATGGATGTCAATATTGTTTGATAATGAGAGCTAGTGGATATCAGTATTATTTGATACTGCTGATTGCATCGAGCATCAATGCTAGTCAGTCGAGTGTGTTGATGAAGGTCGATTATAAATATCAGATGTTAGTAGGTGGAAACTTTATGTCACGCCCTGGGATCCACATAGGAGATCAAGCTTGAGTTCACAACTTTGTAATTTATTATTCTTCAATTTAAGAGAGGAAAAATCCTCTATAGTTTTACTTACATAGTGGATCATTTCATCCAAACAAGGTCCTACAATATTTTTCTTTTTTGAGAATTTCATATAAATACTCTTGTATCTCTTATTAACTCTTTTAGTGGCGTGTATGCAAGATCTTTGTGCGATTATCTTTCTATCAATGTCAATTTTCTAACATGCAATAATTATTTTTTTTAATTGAGAAAAGTTTTATAATTAACATAGACTTCAATGATATATACAGAGGGCTACAAAAGATTCAATGCACTTAACAAGCTAATCATATTTTGGAGCATTGCAATTCTTTCGTAATCATTTAATTAAGTAGTTTAACAAGTCTGAATATTTATATAAATTGATAAATGAACAAATTTGAATAATTTGATGTACAATTCACTTATTATCAAGAATAATATCATTTAAATTTCTATATAGCAAAGTTTTTAGGAAGCCTGATTAGGGCAATAATAGTTGATTATAAATTTATTTAATAAATAATTCCAAGGATACTCTAGAATCAGAATAATATATTCTTTTATATAAAAAAAGGTCAAAAATTGAAAATATTCTTATGAATCATTTATCTCTATTTATATAAATATAGTTTTATAAAAAAAAACTTTTAATTTATATCCCCTTAAAAATCTTTAAAATATAATTATAAATATCTATTATGAATATCAATGATACTATTAAAACAACCCATTTATATTCCCATTTAAAAAAAAAAACTCTGACTCAGCCGTATCGCCGTGATGGGAACTAGTCGCGGATGTGGCTCATGCCGACCACAAAGCGTGCTAGGAGCAGAGGAACCACCAAATACAGTATTAATATATCCTTTTGTCGATATATTAAGTACTAATGCCTCTTTTTTTCTTCTGTAGGGACAGTGTGATTAATGCATTTTTCTATTCAAGATTGCTGTGTTCGGGGTTAAATCTTCTTCAATTATCATAGCACTTAATAGAATGCGTGATTATTAAATTTTAATAAAGCAAATTACTTTGAACCGGTGGTATTAAATCAATCTAATTTTTGTTGGATTTAATCTAAGTCAGCCAAAATATATTTATATGATGGATATCAGCTAATCAGAACAGTACAGTCACAGCGTTAGCTATTAAGTTCTGAATTTATATTAAAACTTTATATTTATACAATGTAATTGATCAGAAATTTAACTTAAAAGATTTTGGAATTAAATTTAAAACTATTCAAACTCCAAATTAAAAAAGTTATAGTCGAACCGAATGTCTTACGTGATAAAAATATTGACACCATAAATGATTTGATCTGCCCAAATAAACACAAACCAAGTAATTGAATCATATTTAAAATATTCTAAACAATAACGGAAAGATCAAAGGTTCGCCAATAATATTCTAAAGTTTTCAATTACACTTCAAGTGCTTGATATGGGCTCATTCGGATTTGGATTGGACCACCTAGTGTCATTGGATATGTCTCATCGAGCTGATTAGTACGATTATTGTTAGTTCTTGTGGGATCTAATTGTGATAATCAATCGGGTTGCATTGCCAATTCATATCACAATTTAATCGATCGAGCTCAACGAGGAGCTCACTATGGGGTTGTCAGGGGCACATTGCCCCTGCTCAAGGGTTTAGGGACGAAGCTCAAGAACTTCTTTTTCTTTTTCTTTTTTTCCTTTTGTCCTTACAACACTGTAATTTTGTAAATATAGTGTGGTGTTGTGGACTCAGTTATAGGACAAAGAACTCAATATAATGATATTGTGAATTTAGTGACACAGTAGTATAATCATAGCACAATGATGTTATAGACCTATTTTGAGACAAAAGAGGCAATGCCAAGTCACCGCGAGTACAACGATGAGGTGTTGTGGGTACAACACCATAGTGTTGCGAGTCAATTGGGTCAATTCTCTTATGTAAATCATCTCACCTCAAGCTAAGTAGTCCTTATTTCATTACACTACATATTCCACTATTTATGTCAGTTATTTCGTTTGTGCTATAGAGGCTATACCAAAACATTTGTATTTGTCATACTTAACATAGTAGGACGATGATACTCAATATAGTATACTACCTGGAACTATACGAAGGTAGAAGAAGTCAATATACTCTTTGCTTTGGTTTCTAGTACTTTGAGAAACTTATTTTTGTTTACTTTCCCTTGAGCCATATTCCACGTCATTTTCTCCTTATTTTTAGTTAAGTGTTATAACCAATTACACAGTGTAACTCTTTCGAATATTCGTCTTAATATAGCGGATATGATTGAGAAGAGAGAGAGAGTTGAAGATTTATAGAATTTCTCCCATTTTCATAGTGAATTTTTTAATGTAGTGTGGTTCCATGATTTTTTTTTTCTCATTTTTGTGTTTTTTCATGTTAAATTCAAGAGTTCTTTCTCTATTAATTTTCTTTTCTTGTTTGTTTCAATTTGTTTACTCCTATTAGCTATAAGTTTGTAGAAATCTGATTTTAGATTATCATTAATTTGATTTAAGAAGCTTCCAATTTAGTTATGATTAAGATTCATGCTTGATCGAGCTGGTTTTTAAAATATGTATTAGGCATTATTTGCAATCATAATAAAAACTTGTGTAATCATTTTAAATTGATTAGGCTCCCTTTTTTTTGAGTTTTTCACTTTTTCTTGTAAAATTGGTCTCTTATGATTATTATATTATTTTCTAATTTGCATGTGTTGGGTCTTTGTATAAATGTAAAGACAATAAACTCTCTTTCTATTGTTGCAAATGTTGTGACATGCAAGAAGTTGCCATCATAATGCCATGCCAAATCTTTTTAGTTTTTGTCCTAAGATTATTTTGCATAATTTTCCAACAAAAAGATATATTTTTTATGCCAAATCTTTTAAGTCAAATTAACATGTGTTAATTCATATTTGGGACTCGCTCATGAAATTCATAAAAGCACTTTTTATGAACAAATAGTCTTGGTGAAACTAGAGAATATGTGCTAGTATTGGTAATTATCATATTATGAATATTTCGTGTGCATGATCATTCAACAAAATAATTACAAATATGAAACAATCAGTTGTCATTTATAATTATAATTAAAGCAATAATTTTGTAAGGTTTCTAAAAAAAATATTATGCGTTAGAACCAGCCAATTCTATCAAGCTGAGAATGGTTAGACGACTTTCAAGTTGAACTAGCGGTTCAAACCTACTCGAGCCGGTTTGATATAAATATGGTTTTCAAATTTGATCGGACCGTTAACATGACTGGTTCACGATTAAATCAAGGTTGAACCTATCAGGCCGACTCGATTTTTAAAACAATATTTAGCTCTTAAATTATAACAATAAAATCAATTGATTTTCATAAATAGGAAATAATTTGTATGATTAGAACATAGATTGAGCCATAATAAGTATAAGTCCAATTAGCAAAGAGAAAATGAGGAATTGTAAATTCTATCAATTATTTTTGCCTTGCAAATGATGTTTATAATATCGAAAGAATGCATCATCATCCCTCCTTTGAGAAAATTATTAGGTGCGGAGTGCGGACAGGAGAACCATCCGCACGCTAGTATAAAATCGCGTTTGGTACCGTTCGGTACCACTCGGTACCACTGGGTACCGCTCGGTATCTTGTGTCTGTGCAGACGATTCTCACCCCGTCTGCACTTCGCACCTAATAATTTTTCCCTTTTTTCGTTGACAATGTGATTTTAAACGAGAAGACACTATGTCCAATTAGTCCTAAATTATTGTGGAAAAGAATTTAAAAGACCAAAATGACCCTACCGGCGCACAACGCGTGAGCCGATTACCGTCTCATCAATCAACCACCATCACAACACAGTAAAAAACTTATTAGTTACGTGTGGTCAAGTATTACCGTTCTCCTGTTCCTCAGGTTCATTTTACAGTTTCAACTACGCCCAGTTCCTTCACACACTCGCAAGTTGCTCCACTCACTCGCACTCATAAGTCACAACCGCACCCATTCGTTCATAACACCGTGCAAGCGTGCCACGAAAGCAAAATATCCGGCGAAATCTCAAACGTCAGATCGATGGGACTGCTCATAAGAACCGCAATCCATTCACACTGTAATTTCCTCAAATCCTATTCCATTAAACGCGGTAAATTCTCGGTTCAGTAACTGCTACATTTATAAGACTTCCCGAGTCCCAAGAACGCGCACTAACGCACGTCTGCGACGCCCCACTCGAACCCCGCAGAGAGAGAGAGATAGAGAGAGTTCAATCCGACGGCAGACAAGCAAGGGGATCTGAAGCCATGGAAGATGCATATCTCTACGACGAGGAGCGGCTGTGGAAATGTCAGAAGCACCCGCTCAAGAATCGCCATGGCGTTTGCCCCAACTGCCTTCGCGATCGCCTCCTCCTTCTCTGTCCGGACTGCGCCCATCTACGTCCTTGCGCTTGCCTTCCGTCGTCTTCTTCCTCCTTCTCCTCCATCTCCTCACTCGACCCCCCGAGATCCAGCTTCGGCGGCGTTGGTCGTATCGGAAGCCTAATCGACGGCGAACCAGCCTTCCGGCGATCCAGATCTGCAGCATTTACTTTTATCCGACCGAGATCGGAAGTCGCCGATGAGGAGGTTCGTATCAGAGTACGGCGTTGGGCTGCGTTTTGGCCTTTCTCTAAGGGTGCGATTCGGAGGGTTGATGAGGTAATGGCGCCGGAAAAGTTTGTAAGATCGAGCTCGGTGGCTGTGACGAGTTGTCAGGATTTCCGTGGCGGTGAGAGAGGAGAAGGAAGGAATAAGGGATGGAATTGGCTCTTTCCAAGCCCAACTAAGGTTTTCCGGCACAGGAAGTCTGCTAAGGTAGTTCAGGAGCGATCCCCTTTCTACAGGGCATGATCGGTTGGAATTTAGTAAGTAAAAACCAAGAAGAAAATAAATTTTTATGAAGATAGTTTTTCAAGTACTTTTTTTCTCAAGGTTTAGACTGCTCAGAGGAGCTTACTTTTTTTTTTCTTTATTTTGTACAGAAACTAATGTTTATTCGTGTTATGAATTAAAAATTTAGTTTTGTTATTTAGCTTTGTCATCGTTCATCGCATATTTGTTTCTTCCCATAAACTATTTCAAAATATCCCAAAATTTAAGTGGAGATGGGCTTCGAAAATTTTATGTTTATATTAAGATTAAGGTAATTCAATATATCTATATAATATAAAATTTAAAATAAATTTAACATTTTAAAGATTAATGTACTTTGTATCAGAAATTCTTTGCAATTTTTTTTTCTTGGAACAAACTCAAATTAAGTCCAGAAAATTGACACAGCATTAGTCCTAATCGTCTGTTTTGTTTGAGCCTAATTTTGGCCATCCGCGATATAATTTTAACCTTTTCCTCAACTGAAGGCCTAAGGGTATGTTTGGGATAAATTTCATATAATTTTATTTTACACATCATTTTAATATTTCTACTTGACTCTGATTTCATTATTCTTTTAAATATTTTTTTTTTTTTCATTGGGCCGGATGATTTTATTGGAAGTTGCTGAAGTTTTAAGAATGTATCATGTCAATATTAAATTTATGTTTCAATATGTAATTTTTTTAAAAGAAAAAAAATGTTGATTAGCTTTTTATTGTGATAGGTAAAAAAAGTTATTTTTAAAATTTAATTTTTTATAAAAAAATATAATATCATAATTGATACGCCATGTAAAAATTATCTTGATCGGACGCGAATCTCGAGAGAAAAAGCTAGTTGGAAACTTTAAAATTTAATTTCGGGAGCATCCGAAGTCCGATTTCAGCAAGCTTATAGTCCCAGGACGCAACAATAATAGTGTTAAAAAATAATAATTTTTTTTCGTGGATGCTTCATAACTAAAGTTTCATTTTGGTAAATTCCAATTAGGGGCGAAATCAGTTTTACTTTTGCGTGCAAAATTGATGACAAACCTTCAAAGAAGCCCAAATGATGGGGGATTTTAGTGGGGTTATAGGTGAGGTGGGGTCCAAGCAGTAGTTCAACAATGCATTAATGAGATAGAAGAAATAATGCTCACGAGAAACAACAAGTGATTGAGCTTTCTTGGTTGAATTGGATCTACACTGGATGTGGGAAAAACTTTTTAAGACATGAAAAAAAAAAATTTCCTTATGGAGGCAAATTTTTGAAATTGCTTTCGTTTTAAGTAAAACTCAATTTTGAGGGTGGGCTTTGATTATATATGATTTCTCTCCTCATTACAATTAAATGCTAAAAGTAGCTATAAAAAATTATGATTTTTTTGAAAAATTATTATTAGTATTCTTGCGTCCTAGAATATTCGCGACGGTAGAGAGAAAGTTTTCGTCCTAATTTTATATGAATATTTAACACAGAAAAATTAGAGAAAAATGTCCAATAGTCATAGAAAGCATCCAAATTTTTACATGAAAACTCTTGAATAGGGGAAAAACCATGGGGCATTGCCTAATAGTATTTAGCGGGAAACAGTGGTTGAAGGTACCATAGTTAACATGTGACGAAGGTGAATGATTGTAGTTGGTGGACGACAAATGTCTAAAGGATCATAGTAAACGAGGATGAATGTAAGAGGGACCGTAGTTTGTGGGAGATAGTGGTTAGAGGGACTATAGACATGTAACGGTGTTTAGATGGACCATAGTTGACAGACAAAAAAGATCAGAGGGATTGTAATCGACATGTGATGGAGGTCCAAGGGATTGCAATAGTCGAGCAACGATGCTCGGACAAAGCCTTGGCGGTGGCTGCCAGACGAAGGTGCAACATCGATGGTTGGGCCTATATGCAGGATCAATGGCCTGGTGGTGAGGGTTCACCGGGGTTGGAGCTCTGGGATTATTCAAGCCCAAGAGCTCTCATGAGTTTCTATCCCGAGGTTATAGCTTCCACATATCCTAGCCCCCTTCATGTGGAAAGTGCGGGTCTATTTATAAGTTTTTTTATAGTAGCATGCTCTGTAAATATGAAAAAGATCAAGGATAAATTCTAAGTGCTTCATCAGACGGCCCATATCGATTTCTTCAATCATAGAGCATTTAAGTGTTTTAATGATATCAGAATTAAGCAATCTAGAGCTTGTTGGATTTGCTCGTCGAGCCAGTTGATTTAACTATAAGCATATCATAGTTTGATATAATTTCATCATCTAATTAACACTTTGAAGTTTTCAAATATGCTTCGTTCTCATGATTTGGGCTCAGATTGGACTCATTTTGGTGTCGTTAGGTTCGTCTTACGGAGACATCTAATTTAATTATAAGTTTGTAGAAAATAGAGTTCAGATGGTAATGAATTCAATTTTGAAAATTTTCAATTTATATATACTTCAAGATTCGTGCCTAATGAAGATGATTTTTGATAACATATTAAATATATTATAAATGATAAAAAAATTTATAACTACAACAGTAGTAGATCTATTGAATAAAATAACTTCTACCTACGCAACTTTTTCAAATAAAATAAAAAACATTGTAATAAAATAAAAATGGAATAACTGTCTAAAGGCAAAATTATGAACAACTTTTATCAAACAGCATCTAATTACATAAACAATGATGGCCGTCTCAAATAGGCTATAATCTTATAAAGAGTTAGTATCTCACAAAAATATTATAAATACTTTAAGATTTAGTTGATTTTTTTTAGGGTTTTTTACATACCTAATACTTAAAACTTCTCTATTTACTTATGTAACATCAAAACTTTAATATTTACTCTTCTACCACCTAAAAGCCCTATAACTCATCAAATATAGCACTCCTTTTCTCTCCCATCAAAACCAACCCCGAAAGCATATTTCGCGTCGGAATCTTGTGCGAATACATTCGAAGAGCAGCTCCCTTTCTTGCGTTTGAATCCCCTCATCTTCTCCGACACAGTAGACATTTCGTGCGAAGCTCCATCTGAATCGCCATTTCTTTTAATCGTTTAATCGACATTTCTGTAAATAAATAAGGAAGCACCCATCAAATTGAAATAGAGGTAGAAGCTGCCAAAAGCCACCTCAGAAGAACATCAAACGTATGAAGCAATCACAAGCAGACAAAAACCAATTCCAACACCCTTTTTAATTGATTATAAGCCGCTCGTAACAACAAACCTAGATACAAAACCTTCTTCTTCGTCGCTAGATATCACGACATGGCTTTCTTCAAATACTTCGCCAGTTCACGTTGCCTCTGCGACACGACAAGCCTGCCCGCAGCCGAAATTGTGGAAGAGGGCATCGATTCCGGTCTCAACATCGAGCGCGAGCACTCCCCAACCGGCGGCCCGAGGTCCAGCTTTCGCTGGGCGAAGAGGCTGAAATTGGCCGCCTTCGGCAAGCAGGCGGCGCCGCAACACAACTTCAAACACCGGATACTCGTTTCCCAAGTCGTTTTCGGAGCCGGTGGAGCGATCTCAATTCGACCAATTTGATCAGTCTTGATTCTGAGATGCCGCGCGTGATATCGAGCAGGAGGTTTGAACTATCTAGTTCAGGTCGCTGCAGGATCACTAAATCGATTTCGCCGGAGGTCGCGTCGGAGTTAGAATGAGGCGACAGCGAAGCAAACATCTCAGAAATATAGCTTTCGGGGTTTGATTTTCACATGAGATAAACGGAGTGCTATATTTGATGAGGGATAAAACTTTTAGGTGATATAAAAGTAAATAGTAAGGTTTAGGTGTTAGATAAGTAAATAGAGAAGTTTTAAGTGTTAGGTATGTAAAAACCCCTTTTTTTAATATCATTCGGAATAGCTTACACCCAAATACTAATTATAATTGACAGAAATAGAAATTGAACTATTGTAGTTGCCCCTTAATAGTAAGATTAATTTCTAATAATAAATGCATAGATATGACCTTCCACCAATATATTTAATGATAATAAAATACATTGATGTAAACATGGTGGTTACACGTGATGTCGCCAACGGAAAGGCTTTGGCCTTTGGGCATCTGTGGAAGATAATGCGGGTCAGCATGAAATCTTGGCCGTTAAATTGGGTGTAATGAGTAATGACTGCGTGATAGGAAACAAAAGAGGCCAATGAGAAAAAGCGACTTTACGAAGGCTATCTCACGTGCCTGAACGGCGCACGTGATGGTGGCGTTTTCTATTTGCCTGTCCTGTGCACTACCTCACATGCCTCGTCGACGCACACGTGAGAGTAGTTTTAAAATAGTCTTCTAAAATAATTTTTTTAATCACAAAAAATAATAAAATAGAAGCTTTTTTATGTCTAGCAAGCCACCCTTTTAGAGGGATGTAAAAAAATGGACCAGATTCGAGCTCGATTTAAAAATTTTGGGTTCAGATTGACTGGTTTAACAATCGGGTCAGATTTGCATCTGAAAATTCGATCCGTTTAAAAAACGGATCAAGTTCAGGTCAGCCCGCCAAGCTGAAATTAACTCTATTTTGACCGAAATTGAACCTATTTATGGTTTTGCTCGAATAAGCCCATTAACGCCTTTACCATTCGCTATTCGGGTCTGCGGCCGAGAAACGAGATTTGATTTTGGTGGAAGAAGCATGTTGTCCATCTCTAATTTAAGGATTTTATTGAAGAAGCGCATTGCGGGCTTAGTAGAAAAAAAAAACAATTATAAAAAAATGGGTTAGTGGGTGGTGGCGGGTCGACCCGGATCCAAATCGGATTGGGTTCGGGTCTGAATTTGTAACCCGTTTTCTCATATCATTTCAAGTTTGTGTTGAACCAATTGATAATGGGTCTTTTTTGAGTTGGACACAAACCTGACCGAAAAATCCTTTTTGACACTAACAAATGCCTTCGAATCATTAAGATGCTATTTTGTATTTCTATGAACTTTGCGATTGAAGTAAAATAAAGCTTGAGATCGATAGTAGTGAAAGCTATACAAAGTTCAATTTTTCTACCAAATCAAAAGAAGGAAAGTAAAATATCATCACATCTTCAACACATGTGATATGCAATGCATGCTGTGGAGCAAGCAAAATTTGGCTTCTCGATCATCCATTACATCAATAAACATCAATGTCTTCTGATACGAAAGATCTTTCTTAACTATAACAT